AGGATGAGGATGAGGAGGATGAGGATGAGGAGGAGGAGGATGAGGATGATGGTGGTGGCGAAGATGGCGGGCTCACACCGGAAAACGAAGGGGACGGCGGCGACAACTTGAACATGCTACAGTATGTACTCTGAAGAGTCATCCCTAAGCCGTGTTGCCAAGTGGTGCTCAATGTGAGGCCCTGTCGCAGAGCCTCCACTGCCTTGTCTGCGTCCTGAGTCACGGAGTTTTTGAAGGTTGGCAGTCTGGAGCTAGGATATTGAAGCCGGTTTCCACTCTAAGGTCCAGTGTTCTGCACCTGGGCACCTGTCTCCCCTGGGCTTAAGGGGGAAGCAAATCCGTCTTCCCTGCCACGTTTAACTGCCAGACTAGACATAGATATCGTTTCGCCGAAGCGCTCCCATTCGTTGTCACAATAATTTCTGGATCGGAAAGGTGCGTACAAAGGCATACGTGTACATACGCAGCAGCACGAGCCATTTGCTCCCACCTTTGGAATTGTAGCTACTGTACGAATGAGTACAACAGTTTCGGCCCGAGACCTTAACAACATGAACAAAGCCTCAAGTTGCATTGGCCGGGACACAGGCGCAGCCCGCAGTTTCCATCAGTGCTTACATCTTACGAGCTTCATTCAACTCAAGCTTTGCATCTCTCCATCTTTACTTGTTTGCATGCTGCCCTCTGGCGCCTCTTGGCTTTGAAACTGAACGAAGGCAACATCCGTTTCCGGATCGCCTGCTTCAGATCAGCACAGACTCTCAGATGTCTGTTGACGCTTGGCATGCGAGAGCTTTCCGATATCGTTTGCAACAGATTGCATACCAGCCTGTTGTCGGTGGCTTCTTGCAGTGCGCCACTTTTCCGAACTCTTTCTCCATGGACTGCCTCAAGCAGCTCTGCCGAAAAGCAAGCTCCACGAAAAGATGGTGACGACCAGCTGCTACAGCAGAACAATCACTGCTACAGCATTATCTTATTCCCGCATGCAGTCACTGCTCGAGCTCCCCACATGAGCCAAATCCGCGTGCACAGCGCCAAACCTTTGGCATCCGGCAAACGGGCCAGCGCTTCACATTCTCAACCAGCGATTACGACTGTAGCTGTGTACATCTATGACCATATGTTACGGTTATGTACGTACGTTCGTTTGTACATATGTGTATATGTGTGTATACGTTTACGTATATCTTACTATGAAAATGTATATGTACATGTACATGCAACTGACCAACTGTTAATGCACATGTAAAAGTATGTGTGTATGCACATCCGGTGATTACAATATGTGCAAACATTGTGTGTACGTATGTATACACACGTTATACATGTACAAATACAAATACATATACACACATGTAGATCGGGATTGGGCCACCGGGATTGGGGTACTCGTATAAGCAATCCTTCTAAACAGCAGCGGCCCAGCAAATGCCTCGTTGCAGAAACCACGGCAGCTGAGCTCCCAAATGAACTGTTGATCGAAAACCAGCAGAAGTATGCGGAGCTGATGAGATGCAAAAGCCATGAATCAAGTTGGGAAGCCTTGAGGGTGGTCACCCTTCACTTGGATCATGCGGGCCATGGTACCTCGAAGGGGTACAGCTTTATGGCATATCAAGGACTGAACTCTGCAGATTATTGGCAGGCGCGAGCTGGCAGGGGAGACGCTGCTAGCAAATCTTGTGAAGGGTCCTTTCGGGCAGTAGCTGCAGTGGCCTGGAAAGCGAGGCTGTCACTCAGCAGCCGCAGAAGGGAAGCGGCAGGGGCTCGTGCCCCCGACGCGCAAATGCTGGCATGGAGCGGACAATCATTGAGCTGGAAATTAGCATGTTCATGCCTTCATGGATCCTGACCTGCTTCGGGAGTGCTTCTGGTAGGTATCGCAGTAGTGAACCCATGCCATGGCAGTCGTTCCAAGTGTTGCGAATTCACTTGATAAGCCGACGAATGACACGATTTCTATCAAGTTCTCATAACTTATCATGAGCTCATGTCAGTAAATGGCTTTAAGCCTGCAAAACAGATAGAAGATCTGGTCAGCGCAACAAACCCTCTCATGAGTTGGGAAGAACCTTTTCAGAGGTCTGTCATCTCAGGAGGGCGGCAGAGCCCGGGCACCATGGAGTCGTGGGAGATGATCCGGTCCTGCGGTTCAGTCCCGCGACTGCTGCCTGGTGGAGCGTGACCAATAGACCGAGGAGTGTCCTTGTCGATCTGCAGGATTTGATCTATCTGAGCCTGAGGGTTTTGAGTGGTTGTGAGCTTTTCTCAGGGAACATGCATCCCGGCACTGCAGCTAAAGCATCCACATGACCGCGGTTTGTGACTCGCAAGGAAACAGCTGGCTTTCACGTGACGGTCCCCCCCCAGCAAGCTTGGGCACCAGCGTTCGAGGCACGAACCAAATAGGCCAAGTGCTCGTCATCGCTGTTACCTCTGACTGAACTCTCCGGGCCAATCAGCGAAGCGATCAGGCTTAGATTCTGCACGAAGCTTCCAAGATCGGGTGTTTGGTGTTCGCATCGACTACTACCACGAGGCCAGCAAAGCACTGAGCCTGTCGGAGGTGATTTGCCGTTACATCAGCCAGACAGCAACCCCTTCTGCCTAAGCATCGCATGTCGCACCTACCCCAGAGCTGTCTGAGGACTGCACCGAAGTCAAGCTGCCTTTGCTCGCCTTTGCTGCTAAACTGGGCGACGTAACAGGGTGATGAGTCATCGACTGTGCCTCTGTCCCGAGGGATTCCTGCCTTTGGTCCTCAAGATCTTCTGAATCAATTACAAGAAACAGAACATAACAGAACTATCTAGAACTGCCTAAGGTACAAGCAGCATCGAGGAACAGTAACTTTTCAGGCACGACAGTTCATGGCGCCCATCTCTCGAGCTCCGAGTGGCACTCCAAGTAGAGCGCGTAGAGCGAAAAGTGCTTCAGCGAATCCCAGCGATCCTGCAAGCAAAACACTATCATTTCGTCGACTACTCAGCTACCAGCATCTTCAGCTTTTTGAATTGAAGTTTACCATTCCACCCTCCTGCCTATCCGGTCAACTGGCCGGTTTACCCGACATTCTGCACACGACCGCCATGCCTTGATGATTCTGAGCGCGGGCAACATTGGATCGGAAAGCTTTCCTTCTGTGGCCTGACGATTCGAAGGAAGCTCAGGCACCCTGTACTCTGCCATAACCCGCAGCTCCCTGGATTCCCTTTTTCGCGTGTCGGCGACCGTCTCTGTTCATCTTGCCAAGCACTCCTTCTACTCGTTCTTCACACTGGACACATCGAGCTCGGCAACCCTCTGCTGCATGAGCCCCTCAAGACTTAAGCGACTCGCTGGAGAAGAAACCCACAGCCAGACCTTCGGACCTTCAACTCTGGCAAGCTGAAACAAAGATCAAAAGGCGAGCAGTGTCCTCTGTGCCCTCTGCATTTGACGGTCGGCTCTGGTCATCCTAAGGTGAGTCAGATCCTGGGATGCTCCTCTCGGGTCCAATCTCAGGAACATTCCCTCGCGGCCTGTGCAGTTTCATCGACTTGAACCGGGCTGCCCACGGTCCAGAGCCGTTAGCAGCCCTGTCAGAAGAGATCGGAAACGGCGCTGCCATGCGCTGCCCAAGTGCCAAGAAGAAGGTTCACCTTCGAAATGCCGTTCGCTGCGCCGCATCTAGACCGTTGTCTCCAAAGGGATCACGAGTCAAACTCAACGGCGGCTGTACCAAGCGTCCAAGGCCAGGTAAACTGGAGCCAAGAGCATCTTGAAGCAAGGCATGGTGTGCAGGACCCAGCGGGACAACACCATGTCGGGGCCATACGGGTTGGTCAGTTGCCTGAGGATGAGGAGAGATCACAGGTACACGGGAAAAGCATCAAAGCTCGCCGCAACTGCTTCTTAGTCATCTGCGCTTGAACTTCTCAAACTCAGCAAACACGACATGCATCCGAGGGTCTTGGCAAGTCTCGTGGCAACCTGTCAAACCGCTTCCACGCATCACGAAGCTACAAAATGAAATGTTACGAGCAATTCTTGCCTCACTCGGAACACGACTCGGATAAATCTGCGGGAAGCACGGCGTCGTCCCATCGCTGATGCCTGCTATGCTACAAGATGCTGTAGGGCGCCATTCGAGAATGCTCGTGTTCGGGATCGAAATGGTCAATAGGAACCATGCACAACGGCCTTGAGTCGCAGCACTCTGCCAGTTCAGGTTATGGTGGCACTCGCCGCTGCTTTGATCGTAGCCTAGGCTCCAACATGCTCCAACACTGCAGGTGCGCTGGGGGCCGGCACTAATTATAACAGTCAAGATACATGCAGCACCTGCCATACAGAAAACATCGAACAGCATGGAGCCAGGCAGTCCTGGGCGACCAGAAAGCTGTTTCGGTTTCGGATAAGTCGTGCTTGCAAAATTTCGATGGGTTTCGGTCCTACAGGGGGTCCGGGCATGCGAAAAGAGGGACTTGCACCAGGAAGCTCAGGACCAAAGCTGAAACCGCTGCTAGACCCTCGGCGCTGGCATGCCGGGCTTTTGCGCACTTGAAAGCAGTCGGCGCTCACTTAGCCTTGGATTTGCTCTCCACCACGTCCCTCCAGGAAAAAAGCGTGCGCGCCCCATCCTCGGACTGCATGTAGGTGGAATCTACATCGTCGGGGATGTCGGCGTTCTTTATCTTCTCATTCACCTCGTCCTCGTCCATGAGGATCTTCGTCGGAATGATGGCCTTTTTGGGGTACCGCGCGAGGGCGGAGCGCTGCAAGATCCAGAGCTTCCACCCCTCCGTCGTCAGCAGCTGCTCGCGGCCGCTCGGGAGAATTGCCCTGAAGACCTCTATTGGCTGCTCGTGACCAATGTAAACGACCTTGTCGACGGCATGGTCCAGGACTTTCGCCGACTGCCACACTCGGCTCAGGGGCTGATTTGCGGCCCTGCCGTCGGGCTGATGGTCAGGGATGCTGGTGCACGCATACCCCACCTCGAAGGGGTCGACCCGCCCGGTACTGCACATCTTAGAGTGAATATCACTCTCTTTGGGGTGGGCCACCCACAGCTCCCTAGGCGCCGGGGCCACGGTTGCAATCTCGGATACCTCTGGCTCCGCTCGCCGCTGGCCAGTCGTAGCCGACTGCAATGCCCGTGCGAAGAGCCGGCCTGCAACAACAGAATTGCGAGGCCGCGGCGCAACATGTCGGCTAACTGCACCGCGTGCCTAAAGCCTTGCGCTGCACTTGTTGCTCC